ATTCCCACCTGGGTGAAGTGAGGAAAATTCGTGTAAAGTGCCTTTCCCAAGGACACAACGTCGGGCCCTTGACGGGATTCGAACCCACGACCTTACGGTTGCGAGTCTGAGAGCCTAACCACTAGGCCACCGACGCCACAGTACAACGATGCACAGACATACTGACAGACAAACAGATAGACAGACAGGCAAACAGATAGACAGACAGACAGACAGGCAAACAGATAGAAAGACGAGACAAACTGACAGGCAAACAGACATACAGACGACAGAGAGACACACAGACAATTCAGATGGGCTGAATGACAGACAGGCCAAACAAAGTTGGAAACAAAACAAAACAAAATAAAAAAATACAGACGAACAAATAAGGCAAACACACCTGGGAACAAGCAGGCGGACAGACATGACAGACATGACAGTCAGACAAGAGAACAAACACCCCAGATATCAACCCTGCTTGGCCGGCACGTGCACGGATAGATTACTCGGGGGCGTGTCTGGAGTGGGCCGATGGGGGTGGTGGGAGTTGGGGGGTTGGGAAAATGTTGCTTTTTGAAAGGGGGGGGGGGTACGTCCAAGTCCAATTATGAAAAGTTGGACTTCCGTTTCAAAAATTGAGTGACAAGTTTGATTTCGTTGGTCAGGAAGCTGGGTTCCAAAGGAAAAGTACCATTCAAAAGTATGTTTGTACAGACAAGAAGTCTTAGGTTCTCCAGTGATGAAACTGTTAACTCAAGCCATTAGAGACCTAAGAGATTAGTTCGTAATGTAGGCCTCTGATGTGGAATGACTTACCCAGCTATTAATATTAGAGATCCGGGTACTCTACCAATCAATGACCAATGCTACTCGCAATCTTGAAAATCAAACACGCTTGATTTTGGAAGCCACAGTCGAGTTAAGCTTTTAATTCGGAAGTATTGTGCCGAAATGGTAGCTTTTACCTTATCCAAGAAGGAAAAGCTGATTGGCCTCGACTTAATCCGGTAAATCCGATTGGCAGTGGTTTACTTTATCCGTTTAATTTCAGTAAGAGTTTTACAGCACTTGAAACACAAATATGTCATTAAAGTGCCGAATATTAGAGATTCTTCTGGAGTGTAACTTACAAAGAAAAGGAGGAGAGATGAAAATGACAGAATGTTTGATTGGAGAAATGGAGTAAATCTCACCAGACAACCTGCCAACCACCGAATACTATTGGTCTCGCTGGAAGTTGGAAGAAATTAGCATCGATGAAAAGATGGACTTCCGTTTTAAAAAAAAGGTTACAAGTTCGATTTCCAGTTCGTTGGCCAGGAAGCTTGGTTCCGAGGGAAAGGTACCTTTCAAAAGTGTGTATGTATGCACTGACAAGAAGTCTTAGGTTCTCCAGTGATAAAGCTGTTAACTCAAACCATCAGAGACCTATGAGATTTGTTCGTTTCTTTTCGTAAAGCTGTCCTCTGGTGTGGAATGACTTACCCAGCTATTAATATAAGAGATCCGGGTACCCTACTAATGATCGATGCTACTCGCAATCTTGAAGAGCAAACGGGTTTCATTTTGAAAGTCACAGTCAAGTCGTTTTTAATTCAGTCTTATTGTGCCAAAATGGCAGCTTTTGCCTCATCCATGAAGGAAAAGCTGATTGGCCGCGACTTAATCCGGTTAATCCGATTGGCAGTGATTTAGCTAAATTTCACTAAGAGTTTTACAGCACTTGAAACACAAATAGGTAATTAAAGTGCCAAAGATTTAAAGATGTTACTAGAGTGTAATGTACAAAGAAAAGAAGGACGAGAGATGAGAATGACAGAATGTTTGATTGGAGAAATGGAGCAAATCCCACCAGAGCACCCACCAACCAATCCCGTGTGCACTGAATGTTATTGGTCTCCACTAGAAGAAATGAGCAGTGTGATATATTATTAGATTTTTTAGACCAAAGACACGGGCCCGGGTCCATAGGTGACATTGATTCAGTGGCATACTTAAAGTAGTCACATCACTTTTATACACATTATGCATGTCAATACAACCCTCTCCCTCCGTATCCCCCTAAGTAAGTAACCACATTAATTTTAGATACCACCAAACAGCGTCTCCTGATGAAACGGTAAAGCATCTCGCCGTTGCACACCGAAGATCCGAGTTCGATTCTTGCTCTAAAAAAATATTTATGAGACATCTCGAGCTGTTTATTGGAATTATATAATATCCCTCTCAGTCCTGGTTGGCTCTAAGGGTTATGGTGGAAACCTGCCTCCGAAATAATCTACATTGTGTTCATTGTTTATTTATTTATTCAATTTATTTTATTATTTTAAATTTTATTTTTTAAACATTTTTATT